AAATACACAGTTAATTGTCCACTTTATTTCACCAAAACTATTGGGGGAAAAAGAAAACAACCAACCTCCCTTTCCCAAATAGTCAAATATATTCTTGGCCAAAGAAACAATTGAAATTAGTCTACACACATTATTTATCAAATGCTGTCGATTCACATGGTCCTTGTACTCTCTAGAGGGCCTCATAGTTTAAAGCCCAAATCCTGAAAGGAGATCTGCTTAGGGGAACCCCTGTCTCTACGCTGACTTCCAGCCACAGCAGGTCTCTGTGTGGACACAGAGCACCAACTCAAAAGACAGGCACCCAACTGACACCACTTGTACCAGGTAGCTCCTAATTAAATGGATACAGAAACCGGGGAAATTGTGAATAGTCCCCTGGCCCAAGAGCCAGTATGCAGTGCTCTCAGCAAAGTAACCCTTCCCAGCATAGCTTCTTCATTTGGATGGAGCCAGGCTCTTCTCAGTGATGCCCAGTGGTAGGACAAGGGGCAATGGGTGTGAGCTGGAACACAGGAGGTTCCGCTTAAACTTGAGGAGAAACTTCTTTACAGTGAGGGTAACAGAGCCCTGGAACAGGCTGCCCAGGGAGGTTGTGAAGTCTCCTTCTCTGGAGACATTCAAGCCCCGCCTGGATGCCTTCCTGTGTGATCTCATTTAGGTTCCTGCTCTGGCAGGGGGATTGGACTAGATGATCTTTTGAGGTCCCTTCCAATCCCTGACATTCTGTGATTCTGTGATTCATTTGCTAATTTCATTCATTATGCCAGGAGTGAGTTTGTTTGACTTCTCTGGGAACGGGCTTGCGTTTCTGAAGCAGACAAAAACACTGCGAGGAGACACCACAGTTTTCAAACATGAATTATGTTCCTGGTGCTGGCCAAGTGAGAAGATAAAATACGCATTCATGATGAAACTGTGGGTTTCAATTCTTTTATTGGAGACATAAGAAGAAGGTCTCCCTGAAGTAACTCTTTCACCAGGAGTGCTTTTTGAAAGTAGCCTTAAAACCCGAGCAGGCTTGCTGGCCAGATTTAGCAGAACTGTGTGACAACTGGCGTTTGGAAATAAACACTGCATTCACCAGTGCAAGGTTTGTTGCTGGTTTTATTAGGAGCAGTATATTTTTTACAAGACAAGATAAAAATGCTTGTAGAAAATAGAAGAGATGGCTTCTCCAACTGAACCAAATGGGTGGGTGAATACTGACTTTTCCTAAGGCTCTGTCAAAGACCAACAGCTTACTGCTACTCATATACTATCCAAGTAACATTTGATGACTGCCAGTCTTTAACCTATGGTAAAAGCTTTTCATAGCATAGAACACCAGCCTTCAGCCTCGTGTTCTCTACTCAGTACAAGGCAAGTGTAAATGATACGCTTTATTGAAATGTGTCTTTACTTCTTAATGTCTCTGAAGTCACAGTAATTTGAATTAATAGAGGTAGTACTGAGAAACCAAATTACTGTCTGTGCTGTGCGGATCTGGACAATCTCTGTGTGGTCAGTCAGACCAAAGATGCCTGTATTGCCACAAACTTTGAGGGCTAATCTCTGCTATGGCAAAGGTTTATGAATAGATTTCCAAGCAGAGAGAGGGAGAGAAAGAAGAGTTCAAGGTTCCTAGTCCACAGTTGCTCATCATTGTTTATGTACTGAATTAGATAATAGGCATTTTCACATCCCAATTAACTGAATGTATTAAAACATGGTAACTGCAAAGCTAAATGTTCAAAGGACTTTGAGCAACCACAACTATTGCATATTTTTTCCAAGTGCAGAGGTAAAAACACCTGCTGTTCTGAATAAGGATTTTCTTTCTCCCTGGTATGTTATCAGTCTTAAAATCGCTACTTGCATCCCAAACAAATATAGCTCTGAGACCCATACAATGTTTTTACAAGTGAGATCTTGAAATGAAGTTGTATGTCTGTGTGTATAACCGACTGATGTATTCTACAGTTTTGGTACCATCATAACCTTAACTTGTGTTCTGTAACTTGTGGACCATTTTGTCCTTGGGCTTTTTGAAGACTGCTGCCAGATTTGTCAGTAAGTGTATCAGTAAAATTAGATGAGCTCCACTTTGACTGATGAAGGTGTGGAAGATTATCTTGCTGTGGCATGTAATGGCTCAATGACTCTTTACTTGTTTTGAAAACAACAACAACAAATCTGTAGAGGAGTTGTTCTCTGTTAGTCCTGCAGTAGGTAAAGCTTTAATGAGGTGCTGCCACAGGGTGGGCCACCGTATACAGCTTTCCTGTAGCCCTGCATGTTCCTCAACTGCAATTCCAGCATGGCATTTTTTTCCCCAAAGGGATGCATACCATCAATACAAATGCTGAACTCCATTTAACCTTCTATTTCCAAGCTTATGTTTCTATTTGAATTACCTCTTTAGCCTTGTGCTTAAAAAACCTTTTATTATGTTAAATGTATTTGTATATGATATACCAGATTTTTTGACTTTTTATGCCAGGTATCAATCTATTATATGCTTTAAGAAGTTTTTCCTGTATGTTTTGATGTGAAACTAGGGATACAGATGTGACAGTGGCTTAATAACAGGATCCAGATCTGTGACTAAGTCAGACCCAATGTTGGGCAGCAGTTCAAAGTTATTGTTTTTCTGTGGCTGACACAAAATGAATCTGTAGATTTGTTTTATTTCTTGGTAGACAAAAAGCTGTAAATTGGTGATGAGGTAAGCCAGAGGATAAAGACACATATAGTCTGAACTGTGTGAACTGACTGGCAGCAATGGGGTGTGAGGAAAGGTCACCCATGCTCTGACACCTTAGGTGGGCTCTGTGCTTCACAAATGCTCAGTCTGGAGCTTTCCCAGTAGATAATACCTATTTTACTTGAATACCCACTTCAGTCATCTCCCACTTAAGGGTGACTTGTATTCGCACTGTATAAAGACTGGTGCCCTTATTTTCACTCCATCCTTTCAAAATAAGAACTCCCTCTCTCAGATCCACTTGACTCCATTAAGACCTGAATAATAATGGGTTGATTAGTAGGTGTGACACTAGTATGGTCTCAGTTTAATCCATAAGAATAAATAGAGCTAGTTGTTTGGGAAAAGAAGAATTCCAGTGGGAATAAAGACAAATATCATGACATTTTTCTTCGAAAATGTAGTGTTCAGAAATAGAAAATGCACTCACCTTGGGGAATTTTTTCATTTTGTGACATACTGCAAACATTAAGTGTTAGCAGGCAGAAAAGCCAAGATGAGCTGGACTAATATCCAGAGAAATTTGTCTAAAGGGAACAAATAGAACTGGAATGGTGATGAAACATGTTTTCAGGAAAACATTGCAACAGGCCAATGCAAGGGGTACCATTACTCACAAAAATGGCACCAGTGAACAGAGAAATACTTAAAAAAAAATCCAAGTGTTGCCTTCAACTGAAGGATTCAGTAGCTTTTTGGACAGTGA